AATACTGTATTGATAGGATACTACTCAGAAAGTTTAGTGGTATTATTACTCTGCAAATATTTGCATTTGCGTGCCTTGAATGATGAAAACCATTGCATAATGATATATGGAATGATTTTCAAATATGTTGTCATTTACAGCTTCCAAATGATTTTGACATTGAAAATTGCCTACTTAAATATCCTGTGAGATATGAAGAAAGTATGAACACTGTGCTGGTGCAAGAAATGGAAAGATTTAACCAGTAAGAATGTTCTATTTTATTATAATTCTATTTGCAGGAAAAATTTCCTGTGAATCATACACTGTAGGCTCTGTTGTGTGAAATATTTCATTTATTTTGTTCCCTTCTAATTGTCTGCAGTGCTATCTGCAGTCCAAGCGCCATTGCTCCTTGTGGAAGGTCAGAGTGTAGGATGGCTGTCAGGAAAAATGATCTAGGGGCAAAATGAACTGAAAGAGAAAAATATATGATAGAAGAAGGGAGTGTGAGGAAGCTCTGGGAAGAGAGAATGCAAACAATATTTTTATGTTCCTTTTTTTTTTAACTTCCCTTTTACCATCTTTATCTTCAATTATATTTTATTTTCCTCATATTTCTGACCTGTAGGGTAAAGGGTTTAGAAACTGTAATACATGCACAGTTATAGTTTATGAAACCTTTTCCTTGATAGATGGAAATATTTCTGTATATTTCTTTATTGTCTCATAGACTTCTGTTTGTAAAATTTCCTTTTCCCTCCCCTTTTTTTCTGATGCCTTTTTTCCCTAGACCTTCTTTCCTCAATTACTCTCCTAGGACTACAAACCTATAATCACTTTCATTTTTCTGTTTGGTTCCCTGATCTCTTTTTTGACTTTGTTTCCTAATTTTCTTTCTTATTTTAGCCTGCCTCTCCATTCCTTCTTTCTGGTTTTTCTTTGTCCTCCTATTCTATTTGTCTCTTCAAATTTCCTGCTCCATTTTCTCCCTAATTCTCTCTGGCCTTCAGTCTCCAAGTTATCCTTGTTGTAGACCTCTTCCTTTGGAATCTAAACCTTTTTCCTTCATCTAGTATATGGTGGATAGATTTGGAGTTCCAAATTTATCCTCTTACCTAACAACACAGAGTATATCAGAGATAACAAAGGAAATTATTACTGTTCCTAGTCTTAAGTAAATCTGCACAAATCCATGACTTGACAAATGTGGCTAATTGTGTATACGTGTGTGTGTATATATATATGTATGTGGGTATGTGTATGTATGTATTAGGTGTACAAGTTCTATAGATGATTCCATAGTCATTTTTTTAAAATTTCTTTCCATTGCCACTGTCATGTTTTACAAATCATGCAAAATGTGTGAAAAATGTTTTATTTTCTAATTCCAGTTTAACCCGAACTATCCGTATTACACTAATTAACCTGAAGAAAGCCATTAAAGGACTGGTGGTTATGGATGCTGAGCTGGAGGCTCTGTCTGGCAGTCTCCTTATTGGAAAAGTTCCTGAGAAGTGGGCACAACATTCCTATCCAAGTCTAAAGCCATTAGGGAGCTACATTGTAGATTTGTTAGCAAGGTTGAAGTTTCTACAGGTGATGTACAAGAGGCAGGGCTGCCAATTAGTTAATCTGCTTTTTCATATAATTTGTCCTTTACATTAAAGGATTATTGGGAAAGGAGGGATAGGCTTTGTTTAGATTTTTCTGAGTATAATTATGGAGAAAATTGTCAAAGAGTGTGGGATTTCTATTTCTGATTATTGCATGTGTCCCTTTTCTCCTTCCAGGATTGGTATGAATTAGGGAAGCCCCCTGTTTTTTGGCTGTCAGGATTCTATTTTACTCAAGCTTTCCTAACTGGAGCAATGCAAAACTATGCTAGGAAACACAGAATCCCTATCGACCTTCTGGGATATGAATTTCAGGTATGGAAAAGTTATAAATTAATATTTTATTAATCTCAGTCCTGATATTGTAGTGAGATGTAGTAAAGAAATCCTGACTGGAAGGTTCATTTTGCAACTAACTCACTGCAGTCTGAAGACATGCATGTATTTCTTTGGTAAGGTTGGCATACCATATATATATATATGTGGTACCATATATATATATATATATATATGATAAAATATACTATATATATAAAATATATATTCACAATATAATATATAATATAACATCTGTAGAAGAGGTATATTCAAAGTAATGAAAAGTAATTCTGTCATTGGACCTGGACCTCCACTCAAGAAAACAACCTATATGGTTCATATTTGTCTGTGTGATTCAAGCCTCATTTTATAACCTCAGTAAAGACAATTAACAAACCCACAGAAATCTGCTCTCTATGGTTCTGAATAAAAGTAGCACTGAAAGGAATTCTCAATTTGGATTGATCTGAAAATTGGCTGATGGCATAATACCTCAAAAAGCAAAGAGCAGGGGAAGTTTCATAACATGGAAAATTTACTTCTTGTAGGTTATTCCTCAGGATACTGCTGATACTGCCCCAGAAGACGGTGTTTATATCCATGGATTATTTTTAGACGGAGCTCGCTGGGACAGGACAAAGTCAGTAGCCAAGTTTTTTCCTGTGGTTCTGGAAAGCTTTCTTAGATGCTCAAACAAGATTGGCTGAAATATTTCGAGTGATACTTTTCACGTTACTGAAATAACAGGCCAAATTAAATACTCTCTCATTCATGGAAAATGGGGAAGAAAAAGCCAACAACCTATCAAGCAATAACCAAAAAACACCCACCAAACCCCTCAAGCCACAAATAACTACTTTGTTGCTTTCTCTCCCCAGGGGAATGTTGACTGAGCAGTATCCCAAAGTGCTCTTTGATGCCATGCCAATCATTTGGATAAAGCCAAGTGAGTATAATTTCTCTGATATGAGCTATTCAACAAGAAATTACAGCAGTGGTTTCCTTTTTTACTGAAGATCAGTGTCCTCACCCAAATACCCAAATGTGCACAGAATTCACGTTCATCTGACCTGGGACTTTCCTGTCAAAAGTGGGGCCTGCTCCCTGGAGTTGGTCCCACTCTGTCTGAGCCTTGGGCCTGTCCCACTCCCCAGAGATATTTAGAGTTATGAATTAGATGAAAAGGCTAGTTAAATGATTTTTTTGTAAATATGTTCAGTTGCTCCCAATCTTTTTCAACAAAAAGTTAATTTGGATAGGAAAGCACGTGGTACTTGAATTCCTGGCTCTACTCAAGTTGAGGGGAACTTTCAACTGACTTACAGACACTCAGTATTTTACCTCATGTGATTTAGCAAGGTTTGCTCAGGTTATTTTTAGCTGCTATGCCGACTGCCTCTCATGCTAGTAAGTAGTTTTTCACAACTCTTGTCTTCTTTGATCAGGAGTAAATCCCTGTTTTACTTACTCACATAATCACAACTTTCTACTGCAACTGTTAAAACTTAGATGTTGTCAGCAAATAGGCAGTCTTAAAAATTCCCCCTTTTTCTGCCTGTGCTTTCTCTTGAGGTTGGATGAATCTGCTCAGACCTGCATGATTTTAGGCTTTGCACAAGTTCCATGTAAGCAGTCTGGGCATACAAAGAGTTCCTGCAGAGTTCTGTCCTTGGATCTCAGGTGACTTGAATTGCAGTTAGTTCTGTGGCAGCTGGACCAGAATTCTTGTAGAGCTGTTAAAAGCTCATGTATAATCTATGGTTAAACTAGGTAACTATGCAGATTTTAATGTTTCTTTGAGTATTACAAAGCTGATAGAATCACAGGAAGGCATTGAATCCTGAAAACAAATTGTGGATAAATTAGTTGCGTTTAAAAACAAAAGAAACCACACAAGAGAACACAAAAAAAAAGAAGTGGGATAATTTTATTCTGTTGCTACAAAACAATTTTGCATTTTTATTTAGCTTTAAAGATGTTACTGAAAATACTTAATATTTGCATGTAGATTATGTTTGTATGAATAGATCTGCTGAATGTAATGGATTACTTTGGGGTTCTTTTGAAGCTCCAAAATCAGACATAAAGGAATCCAGTGCCTATGTTTGCCCACTCTACAAGACAAGTGAGCGCAAAGGAGTCTTGTCTACCACTGGGCATTCCACCAACTTCGTCATTGCCTTGAGGCTCGAGACGGACAAACCTGTCCAGCACTGGATCAAGAGAGGGGTTGCACTGCTCTGCCAGCTGGATGACTGACTCTGGGCACTCCAGATCCAGACTCCACAGGATCCTGTTCTTTTTGTTGGCTTATACAGGAAGTGGAACACAGTGTGTAAAAGAAACACCTGGAGTTTTTTATATTAACAGGGTTACAAATACTTTCTGATCCTCAATATTTTGTCTTAGTTAAATATGTGTTGTTATTATTAGTGTCTTTACAATCTATAAACAAACAACTAGGATTTTAGCCCTTGGTAATTTTATTATTGTGTGAACATAGGTTTTATGCCGTAGTTAAATATCACAAAATGTATCTTAATGGAATATGAAAGTAGTCTGCACTTTCTGAGAGAAGCACTACAGGCAATAAAGTTGATTCTGCACATTTGTTTTCTTGAAAAATAAAAAAAAAATTACTCAAGCATTCTTTCTAGATTTCCTCTAGCAAGGAACTCTTTCCACCTTGCATTCAGATACAGAATAATTTCTTTGTATGGATCCCTCTGTAAAATACAGTGGGAATAATTCCATCCTGCCATCACTATTACAACTGGGCATCTTATTCCCTCATTTCCCTTTGTTGGATGTTACACCAGTGTAAGTCTGTCTTTCTGAAACTCCTTTTTCTTTTAAAAACTCTGTTTATTTCTCATTTGCTTTTCTATTTATATTACTGTGAATTGTGACTAAGCAATCAGAAACATAATAATTTTAATAGTGTTTTGGCTTGATTTTATTTGCTTGTTTGTGTTTACTTTTACTGGTTTTGGTTTTTATGCTGTCTTACCCATTTAAGTAAGCTCCTAACACTGTCCTCAGTTTTCTCTTTTAGAACAGCACTGAAGAATTCTCTTTTCATAATGTAACAGTTACTGCTATAGTTCTCAAATTCTCATTCCAAAAACATGAGAGTTTTTACGAGGAAACTGGACTTTTAATTCCTTCTTTTGTTGATACCATTTGTCAGGTCAGATTATTAAACATTACTGGCCTGTGTGAAAGAAACATGGACAAAGTCCCAGCCTGTCTCATGATCGGGTATTTATAGGGAGCTATTAATGGACATGGGCTCTACAGAGATCATTTGCAATCCTGAAAATATCACTTTCAACTTAATAATTACTTCTTCAAAGTGTGAGGTCTTCCCTCTTTCAGAAGGTGAGGAAAACCAGTATATTTTCTCAATTCATAGGAAAATTAGTAGTCAGTTTGTGAAAAAGAAGTAGTCTAGACTTAAAATGTTTCTGTACTCACTGTGCCGTAGTATAATCCATTACTAACAGTCTGTGTATGTTGCTAATAATATTTCTCTTCTTTGCTACATGTGCTATTACAGAGCAAGGCCTTGCAATCACACATTAGGTGGATCAGGTAACAAATTAAATGCTGCAGGTTTGCTGTGAATTACTGCTGCCCAACTTTAGGATGTTTCTAGAATTACTCCAAACTTTGTAAGTGACATGTTGACAACTTCCTTAATTTTGCTGTGCTCATTCATTTTGCCAATTTGTTTACTTGCTTTCAGTTTTACTTATTTATTTTATTTTATTTTTCCCTGTAGTTTTGAGGGTTTCTTTCAGGCCAACTGTCTTGGAAGACAGAGGTGGATGTTTTGATGAGGTAAAACAGATGAGAGGTTTGAGCCTAACAGACCATCTGTGATTTAAACCTATAATAGCATGTAGCTGAATATACAGAAGGACAGTGGGACTGCTTAACAGTCTTAACACATATGCTTAACACATAAATACTATGCTATTTAGTGATCAGTTTGATTGTTAATGATTTTTTATTATTTCTTCTTAAATTTTAACATTTAGCCCTAATATAGTACCTGTTGGATTTAATTCTATGTTCCATTGTTTGTCTTGCAATCTTCAATTGAACCCTTTCAATATGGAGAAGTTTTACGTGTTTGGATTTTGGGTTTGGTTTTGGTTGATTTTTGTTGTTTTGTTTTGTTGTTTGTTTTTTTTTTAAATAATGCTATTCTTAAGCTTTTGTGTGTTATTAACTCAACTGTGGTTACACCAGTGTGTTTTATTTCTGCTTGTATTTGGATATATACTGTTGCAGTATTTTGGATATATCCCTTAAAAGTCTCAGAAGCAAACAGGCATGCATGGATGGAGGCAGAATTGTGAGTTTATCTGTTGTAAAAGGCAGTAGATTTGGTACATAAGGTGGTGAAGTTGGTGTTTTTCCAAGCATGTTTGATGTTGTTTCAGTTGGATGGCTGGTGCACATAATAGCACAAATCTCCAATACTTTCCTGACTACCAGGTATTGCCCTAACAATGTCTTTGTTGAAACAGTTTGAACAAGAGCTGTTATTAAAAAATTTCATGTCCTTCACTTGCCCTTCCCTTCCAGGCCTGCTGTGAACAAACAGGAAAAGCATCCTGTGTTTTATTGCACAATTGTTTTCCCACTAAGGAAACATCAGAGCTTGATTGTGATGATATTTGAGTGTCTAAATGACTTAAGAGGGAATGACTGTTTATCTAAAAGCAAAGCTTTGCCTATTTTTGTTGCTTTCTAGGAAGCAACGCCAGAACAAGTAGCTATTCTGTATGTTCAGTCTGTGGAACAGAGAAAAAAGCTGGGACATGCTACAGGAGTAGAAAACCTTTACTCTGTTCTAAATAGAATAATTCTGCAGTGCAAACCTAAACCCTTGGGAGAAGGCTGAAGCTTGAGATGGAAGTTCCAATTCATTTATTTTAAGCTGTGTTCATTTCTCTCGATACTGTAACAGTGACTGCTGTTTCTGTTACTTCAGATTGAACCTGAAGATTTAACATCTGCTTCCAATTAAAAAGCAGTGTTTCCCTGCACAAAGTGATCCAGGTTGTGCTGGTTTGCCATGTATAATTCTATGTATATGTTTGATGACAATTCTGATGAAGAAATCCCTACCCAGCAAGCTATTCAGGAAAGCTTACAAGAGAGGCATAAAATTGAAACAAGTGGCTGTGCAACAGAGGCTGAAAGGTAATAAGTTAATGCTTCTATTTTGGGTTTTGGCATTATTGTAAGCATATGGTAACCTTTCTTTCCTTTGTGACTCCCTACGTTGGATTGCTCTGGCCTTGTCTCATGGGTGCTGGAAACCATTGGTAGCTCACTTGGTCTGAGTTCTCCATGAAAAAGTATTCCTGTTTCCTTGAAAATATGGGAATGTATGAACCTTTCAGATGATGTGTTACATCAATATCTAAAGGAGTACAAGGCTTTATAAAGAAGATAAGTAGGTGATGTAAAATTAGATTAATATGGTAGCTTCCCCTCATCTTAGTATTTAATTTTTTATGTGAAAAATTCAATATTTATGATGTCAGGGGAAGACCAGCAAAAACTGTTTTAATGTGATAAACCCTGACAAAATTCATGTAACTTAGAGAAATCTAACATGTAGTCTAGACTTGAGTATTTTAATTAAGGTATAATTATATCCTGAACTTCACATTAATTTTTACTTCTCACTCTATTCTTGTTCTGTTTGTGCAGTTTCCAGTCTACTGCAAGTGAAGAACATGGAAAGATAATTGCAGCAATTCAGACAGTTAAGTACAAATACTTCACACTAAGCCTGTACTCCTGGGAATTGCTGAGCAATGCCTACATTTGAGGTGTTTGATCACCTGATTTAAGTGCAGTTTTTCTTTATATAGTCTTGGGAAGAATAAGACAACTAAAACCAGGACATCCAAACTAACTTACTAGATAGGATCATGGTAATGGGATGGGTTCAAGTGTCACCCTTTTCAGAAATTCCAGTGCTTCATCTCCTGAAATTAGGGGAAAATTCCAGGCCTTTCTTTTAAAATAAGCAGTTTTGAAGTATAAATTTATTAGTCAATTAATACTTCATAACATTTTTCACTTTGCAAGATACCCAGATTAAAAAGCTTTCTCTACCTGAAGTGTTCCAATACTGTTCCTTAACTGCAAAACTTTAGTGTATTCCAATATGAGATGCAATATTGCTCGAGAGGATTGTACTTGAAATATTTTAGTAATGTTATTGTAAGGTTTTTTTCCATGATTAATTCAAAATGCTTTGTGAGTCAATGTTAATCACTGATTGTTGCATTCTTGTAAACTTTCCTCTGAGAAAAAATTGCTCTGACAAAGCAGGTTGTTTATTCTAGATACACTGATGGGATAAATGGCACTCAATGTATTAGTTGCCTGAATTTTGTCTTATGGTTAGTAATGGGATATGTGTCTGTCTTAAAACACCACAGGCCAAGAAGAGACCTTGAAGAAGTTGGTGAAGCACAGTTCTGCCTTTGAAGAAGCAGATGAGCAAGGCTGGCTTCCTGTGCACAAAGCTGCAGCACAGCTAAATAAGAACATCCTTGAAATAACTATGAAAGGTACAGAGTCCTCCTGGTTTTCCACCAAAAAGTTTTTACAAAAGTGAGTTTAATCAATCAGCCATATTCAAATGTGTTCTGCTGTTCTGCATTTCAGCCTCCAATGCCAGTACGTGGGAACAGACCACTCTAAAAGGGGAAACACCTCTGCTGGTGGCAGTAAGGAACTGCTTTGTGGAGAACGTCTGCCTGCTCCTGATCAATGGCTGCAATCCCAATGTTAAGAATGAAGAGGGAGATTCTCCTTTAGTTATAGGTGAATACCTTATTTAGGGGTGGAGAGGTGAGGGAATTAGGTGTTCTGTGTTCATTTCATTTACTTCCCTCAGTTTGGGCTATGATGCCATAATTCTTACTGAATCCTAGCCAAAAAAATGGAAGTGTGTTCTCATTATCTGAGTTCTAAAGGAGCACTATAAGTTTCTTGGATTAACCTGTACATTTTTCAGTATTGGAAGGGGGTTTTTTCCAAAACTGTTGTTAAAGAAAAAGAGCCTACCAACCATCTATAGGATCCCCAGTCTATCCCTGTGAAATGGCTGAAGCTTCTAGTCAGGGCCACCTGCTTACAAAAGATGTAGAGAATTCCTAGACATTTTTGAAGTGCACAATATTAAAATGCATCATCCCATAAGATGGGGATGTATGGGATTTATCTAAAGCTGCTGTGTAGGTTCCAGATAATGGCACATCACAGCTCATATCACAGGATGCTGTCAGGGGTATTTCAAGCAGCTGTGGCATATGAAGCTTCTCAGCCTAAGCTATCTTGATGGAGGACACTTGCTACCCTGCACAGCCTGGAAGATCAAAGAGAGAAGGAGGGAAGGAGGGAAAGCCAATGCAAATTTCTCTTTTAAGATCCTTACGGACTCAACAGTTCAGGCTTATTAAGCTAAGAAGGTATATGACACAATGATTTTAAACTTTGTTTCATATTGTAGTAACTGCTTATGAAGTTTAAATGGAGCTCTGCTGACAGCTCCTGACTCCACCAAGGCCCTGGATGTGGCCTCCATCTAGTGGTAAGGAAAGCTGTGTTCTGTTCCATCACCAAACACAACAGAGGATTACAGAGAGAGATTACCATAACATGGTTTATTTTTATGGTTAGTGCTGTCCTGGAAGCAAAGAACAGACTTGTTGATAAGTTAAACCTTTCAGTGTAGGGTGACGTTTCTCAGTGTATAAAGAGCACTGCAGGAACAGCTCTCCTGGGCTGCCACATTGCAGAAGCCACAGTGTGTGGAATAGCATTGAATAACATTCTGTCTGATGCTTTGCTTGTTGTGCTACAGCAATTAAACAGGATTCCTATGAGATTGCCTCCTTGTTGATAAGATCTGGTGCCAAAGTGGATTTGCAGTGTGTCCACAAGAGAACTGCTCTACACGAGGCAGCCAGACTGGGCAGGAAGGATCTGGTGGAGCTTCTCCTTCATTCCGGAGCGGATCCTGACCCTCGCAGTGGATATGGGCTCACACCTCTAGCACTGGCTGCACAGATGGGACACACAGAAATTATGGAGCTCTTACTGCACAAAGGTAAGACTTTATAATATAGGATCTTACAGGGAGAGAAGGCTCAGGGTGGGGGTCTGTCATCAGGGTTATAAATGAGGGAATGGAATAAAGAATGCGGAGCCAGATTCTCCTCAGTGGTGCCCAATAACAGGACAAGAGGCAATGGGCACCAACTGAAACCTGGCAAATTCTGTCTTGGAAGGGTGGCTGAACACTGGGACAGGTCATGCAGATTTGTGGAATCTCCTTCCTTGGAGACACTAAAACCCTGACTGGATGCTGTCCTGGGCAACCTGCTGTTGCTGACCCTGCTTGAGCACAGGGCTGGACTGGACATTCTTCAGAGATCCTTTCCAACCTCAGCTACTCTGTGGTTCTGTTTTTAGTAACATGTAGCTTCAGTGGTGGTGTTCTTCAAGTGAATAGAAATTGGGAGCCACACGTGCAGTACTGAAATGTTTAAAGCCCAAATGGGACAAAGCGAGTCCTTGTCCCAACAGAGAAAAGTATTCCTGAATGCAGAGGCCAAAAATTGTTCTTATCTCAGTACCCATATACATAGGCTAAAGTATTTAGTCTATTTACATACATTTTTATTAGTCTTCTGCAAGTTCTGTGATTGGATTAAAACTGATTATTGTAAGATATCCTTTAGAAACAGCAGCAGAAATAATTCGCCTTACTAAAGAATATTAAGTGCTATCTGCACCAAGAGGGTTGTTATGATGTAGTTAAGTAAAGGCCTGATAAAAATCACATTTTATAAGGTTAAAATAATATATTAATATTTTATTTCACAAATGTTTTATATTTGTAATTGTTTTTAAATGCTCTATTGTTTTCTCATGTGGACAGGTCATCTTAGGGAAGGCCTGACAACATTTATTGTGGGGAATTTTACATGGTGGTTCAGCAGCACTGGAACTGGATTGCATGAACTTTTTGATACTGAGTTCTCTCATATTTACAGTTCTATCTGTCTGGTCTTTGTAAAGTAAAAGATTTGAAGAGCATTCTATGTAAGCCAAAAAGCAATTGTTTGGATGAATAAGAACCAAACCATTTGCTGGCCCAGTTCTAGCAGCAATTCTTACCATGTAATTGTATTCAAAGCACTTTGGACCATCTTGTTCCCAGGATTACATAAACACATCTAAAATCAAGGATCCAGCATGAAGGTTTGTTCCCACATTGGTTTTATTTGGTGAAGAATAAAATTCCCAATACCCATCACTGGAGGGTTGGAGACATTCATTATGGCTGGGTGTGTACAGTGACTCCTCTGAAAATCCTCACTGCTTCTTTCCAGGTGCAGATGTTCTTTCACAGGCAATGGATTGTGCTTCTGTATTATTTGAAGCAGCAGGAGGAGGAAATCCAGATTCTGTGAGTCTTTTACTAGAATATGGGGCTGATGCCAATGTACCAAAGCACTCGGGTCATTTGCCAATCCACAGAGCTGCATATAGAGGACACTTTCTGTGAGTTAATATACTTAAAAATCAAGTAGTAATGATACCAGAAATATTAATTTTGCTAATCCTATCTCATTCAAAGCAGGCAGCAAATCTGAAGTTCTGTACAAGGAATTGGTTTTGACTGTGTAAATATACCATTCTGTGTCTGAATGTAAGAGACCAGTCAGTGTTAAATCACTTTATCCTAAACATTTTAATCCCTGTAGTATTTCCCTACTTGTCACAAATAATAACACTGTCCAGGCTGATGCTGAGGTTCTTGGGATGTCCTCACTCTCTTTTGGTCTGTGTCTCATTTCCATCCTATCACAGCAAGGTGAATATACCAAACAGGCAAATAGAGTTAAGGAATAAGAGTTATCCTTATTTAAAAGACAGTAAGGTTACTGGAAGATATTTTAGCTAAAATCACAACCAGTAAGTGAGAAACAAGAATCTGAGGATTCTTAATTCCTATGGTAAGATTTTAAATGTATTAAGTTATATTTAAACTTAAATGTATATATTACATTTTAGATTATATCTATTCATGTTAAAATATAGTATATTCTATTAATTACCTAATTCCTACAGGTTAAGCAATAATATTGTGCTCTTGACATTTAGGAAAAGCTTCTATTGAAAAGGAAACCTCTAGCAAGGAATGGGGTTGTTAATGAAATAAATATATATATATATAAATGGAATATAGATTAATATTTTTATTCTATTATAGTATAATAGAATAATATTTTACGTATAGCAGGTGTTAAGTCAGTATCCATTGAAATTTAATTGTTAGCAATTCAAGTCAATACTTGTCAAGGTACTGATTTAGTAGATTAAGATGATTTTTACAGTCATGATGAATTCTGAAGTCCAGCAACACAGAGAAATTCCAAGATGAATTAAGTGAAGCAATATGTTTAAGAACCTGAGATTCTTCTTTTTTAAAATTTTTCAGAGCCCTAAAATATTTAGTTCCAGTTACTGATTTTGCTGCCATTAAAGAAAGTGGGATAAGTCCAGTTCACTCAGCAGCAGCAGGAGCACATCCACAGTGCCTCGAGTTTCTCCTCAAGTCTGGGTTTGATGCCAATTTTATGCTGGATCAGCGAGTTCGCAAAGGCTACGATGACCACCGCAAATCAGCCCTGTATTTCGCTGTGTCCAACGGGGATCTCTGTTCCACACGGCTGCTGCTCAACGCCGGAGCCCTGACAAACCAGGATCCCATCAACTGTCTGCAAATCGCCCTGAGGATGGGCAATTACGAGTTAATGAACCTGCTGCTCCGCCACGGGGCCAACGTGAATTACTTCTGCAGGGTGAACACCACGCACTTCCCCTCGGCGCTGCAGTACGCCCTGAAGGACGAGGTCATGCTCAGGATGCTGCTCAACTACGGGTACAACGTGCAGCGCTGCTTTGACTGCCCCGGGGGAAACCACTGCCACTCGCAGTATGTCACTGACGGCTGGACCTCCACTGTCATCAAAGACACGATGGTGAGTGCAGCACACGGCCCCGTGTGCTGTGCTGCTACCAGTGTCCCTCCTAAAACTGAATGAAAAGGGACGTAGTGCAGCGTCAGAAAAGGAAGGTTTGAAACTGTAAGGCAGTTTATACATAAAGATAGGAATAGACAGGGCTTTAAAATCGAATAGATGTTGCCACGAGGCCTGCTTCATGGCAGAAAACGATTGCAAACTGTATTTCTGATTTGTGAAAAAATAGCTTATGATATCTGATGATCACTATGGCATTGGTTTTCCAGAGCAGTCTTGTCCATGCTGTGAGAGCAGGGACTTGCAGGCTGGCTCCCTGCCCTGTCCTGTACGGTAACACCAACACTGGAAGGCTGTTCTAAACACCCTGGAGCTGGCAGGATAAGCACTGAGCAGCAGTTAACAAGCCTGGACCAACCTAAAGAGGGTCCTGGAGACACCCATCAGTGTCATTGAGCAGCAGTTTGTAAAGTCCATTTGAAACTGATAAACCCTTCTTTAACTAAAGGGCTGAGGGGTGCACTGGGCTGGTGGATCCCCCTGTTCAGCATGCTAGGACAGGAGTCTAAATTCCCCTTAGGTATTCGTAGCACTTTTTTTTAAGCATTTAGGTACCAAATATGCAGTTGCTTAAGTTTATTTTTGGATCTAGTACAAAATAACCATCTCTCAGATTTTCAGATTCTACTGGTGAGGCTTAACACAAGCTGTGACAGCCTCTGAAGCCCCTTGAGTGACAGAACACTCGTTCTGCCTTGGCTTCTCCTCAAGTCATTCAGTTGCTCTTGTCCTGCATAGACAGAAATCATTTGCAGCAGTATTGAATAGTATCTCATTAAACATTCTCTCAGTTCTGTGAAGTGATAACCTTGTCATGGCTGAAGCACCTGTCTGGGAAGGTAGTGCGAGTGATGTTAGACTATGTTGATCACGTCAAGATCTGCTGGAAGCTTGAAGCAGTCCTCAAAGAACAGAAACTCTGGCCAGACATCCATTTCATTTTAAGTAAGTATCTGTTTACATTTGAAATGAAAACAAGCTGTTTGGGGACTGGGGCCTTTTTGCTGGTAGTATTTTCATTTGCATTCTCATTTCTAGCAAATCCTCGCTCTCTGAAGCATCTCTGTCGTCTGAAGATCCGGGAGTGCATGGGCCGGCTGCGGCTCCGCTGCCCTGTCTTCATGACCTTCCTTCCACTGCCAAACTGCCTGAAAGACTACATACTGTACAAGGAATATGACCTTTATGGACAGGAAAACTTCACAGGAATCTACAACTTCAGCTGTACATAAGTATTAGCTCTATATTTTAAAGGGAATGTTATCATGGATAAGACTGTTGTGCAGCTGCTTTTTTCTTTGGGGATTTTATCTCCTATGTGTATTAAGGAACGCCAGCATTCCCCTCTTGCCCCCTGAAGAAACTAGGGAGAACCCCAAAATGTAAGTATTGATGATCCCATTCTACATATCTCCTGGACTATGACCTACCTGAGAGTTGTGGCAACAGTATTTTAAATGCCTACTGTGACATGTTGAGGAAATGTAAAATGCAGGGCTGCAATCCTTGTGTTACTGCTCAGTTAAACCCTGTTGTATCAGATAACCCTACCCCCACTGCAGGGTTAAACCCAGGGTTTAGTAAAAGGTCAGGGATTTAACTAAAACCAGGAAGGGACGTAGTTCTTTTTTCTCTTGTACTTTCTCTTCTTTTCACAAGAAGTTTTTATTTGTGAGGTTCTACAATGACCTTCTGAAGAGCAGCTCAAGTAGATTTTTTTTTTTTGCTCACCCTATCAAGCAATCCCACATTCTAGGCAATGTAATGGGATTAAGCTACAGAAACCTCTGCTTATCCCAGCAGCTCGTGTGACATACCAGTGTTTCAACAGGGCAGCACTGCTGAAAGCTGTTAGTTCTGCAGCTCATGCTCAGGGGCTGGTACGTCTCATCCACCATGGACTTTGATTACTCTCTCTCTAGAACTAGGCTTTCCTTTTACAGTGCTGGCCAAAGCCATGCTTGCAATTTTTGAAGTTTATCTCCATAGAGCTGCAGCTTAAGCTTTTGGAGCACTGTTATTTTAGGAAGTCTGACAGAAGTATTAGGAATACCTATAGCACGCCTGTATTTTCTAGCAGTACTGCAAATGTCAGTTCATATTTTAGAAAAAAAAAGAAGTTCATCAACACATTTGGCATTAGTAGTATTTATTCCTTCATTATCAAGTAAGCATATTTTTTTTTTCTAGTTATACATGCATCTTTATCACGGAAGTTACAGAATTCAAAAGTCTGCTTTTCCCCAGAAAAATCTACAAACCTTATAAAATACAAATTTAACCATAATGTAGTTATGACCCATGGCTTTTTACATGGTGCTTATCATATAGTAACCTACTGAAGCCCGTGAAGGTGAGTCCAGTACCCAGGTTGGTGCTGTGCTGTTCCCATAACACCAGCTCTGCAGGGCCTGTCACTGTCCTGTGTGACAGCCCCACCACAGGCACTGCACAGCCCCTGCCACAGCCCCACCACGGGCACTGCACAGCCCCTGCCATGGCTCCTCCTCAGCTTCAGTCTTGGATTGTTGCAAAAATAAGTTATCAGCATTCCCAAGTATAACAACTTCCTCTGAGGTTATCTGGCAATATGTATGGAAATGGAGAGAACTGAGCTACACTTGATGACAGAGGGAGATAACTGCATGTTAGAGCTTTGTTTAATGGAAGGGAACACGTCCTGTCACCAGTAATGGTACTTCCTGAAAGTCAGTATTATGAGAAATGCAGGAGGCTTTTGCATCAGTACAAGTCCCACCCAGAAAGTTACGAGAGTTAAGCTTTTATTTAATCTACAAAATGCTGACTGGAGCCCTGGCACAATAGGGTTACTGTCCATGTTTCCAAGATTAAGACACAACAATCAGAGTTGACATAAATATGCCATTGGTGGTTTTTAATACAGCTATTCAGGGAAAATGTGCAAGTCAGTCTCAAACATTGCAAAAATCACTTACACTTCACCAGAACAGGACCAATCCAGAACATCATTGTAAGAATTTGACCACTCCACTCTATTATAAAAATGACCAGAAAGATTGTACAAAGTCCTTGTCTTGCAATACAAAGTTCATTAGGAATACAAGTGCATTCACAATGACACACTGACTTATTCTTGTCATGACAACTTAGATACCACTGTGGCAAAGGAAAAAAGAAAAGCAACTTAGTGCTTGATTAAAAAGAAAAGCCTTGGAGACTAATTACCTTGCAAGAATTTTTGTAATACAGATCAAGAGAAATAATATAAAATATCAGCTTTTGCTGTCGGACTAGACAATACCTCTATTAAATTCACTAAGCAGTGGCAGGTTTTCTTTCTCTAGGTGACTTATTTCTGAAATAACAAGAGACTATATTGTTAACATAGTTCTCTCCATTGGCTCTTCCCAAATTCTGTGCAACTACTTAATCAGAATTTACCTTAAAACATAAACACAGTCAAATTTACCTCTTTATATCAATGTACATAAATTATAGCTTCATAAATCACTTCAGCTGTTTCAGGATTTTCAGCTCTGAGTTTACATCCATATAAAGAGAAAATCTGACAACTTTATAAGGGGAAATGTTCCTTAACCCTGAAATATTACTTTACTGTTAGATAGTAAATTGTCTTGATACAATTTCAAACCTAAACAGATTAAGGAAGCAAGACTATGATATTCAAATGACTTTACATTACTTGCTTGTAACCACTTATATATGGTTAAGTTGTACATGACTTTGCCCTTGTGCTCTGCTTTAGACTTGGCCACATCTACCAGAGCCCACAGAGGAGTGCCAGGGATTATCTATAATGCAATAAAATGCACACCCATAAGCACACTTGATATGTTTTATATAGATGCCATTACATACATAAAGAATGTATGTAGCTTGAAACAGCTGACAGCAAGACTTGCTTGTTCTGCAGCATGAAAACCTACAGAGTTACAAGGTTAACATCCCCTCACCTAAGGGCTAAAATTGTGGCAGGAACTATGAGGCTGCAATTAGCAACATAACAAGTTAATCCTGAACACCTCTGCCAATCAGTACCTGCACAAAGTCACTTCGAAATCATGGACTTGAAAGAATGTTTTCAGGAGTGACTAAAATAATAGTAGATGCACATGAAGCAAACTACAGCTTCAGGTGGAAGTACTTGTAAGATCAGCCTTTGAGTAAAAGGCAATAGGAAATAATGAACAGGAGAAACAAATTACAGGAGAGGAAATCAACCAGTAATTTAGTCACAATAATAAAATGCTCAGGTGGTGAAATCCTACCACAGCAGTTCCCAGCAGAACCCAGCAGAACCCAGCAGTTCCCACTAAAAGTCATGTTCTCAAGGAAAATACTAAGCATTCTGATTTCTTTTTTTAATTAACAAAACTGTTTTCTAATGAAGTAGTTCTAGACCTCATAGGAAGAAAAGGTACCAAATAGTTCTTTATTTTGGGAAGGAGACCATGGATAATAACTCAGCAACTATTTTTGCCTTGAGATAATTCTAATTACAGAGCTGTGTGATCCTTCCCTTGGGCAAAGCTCTCACCCCCCTGATAACTCAATGCACCATTCCCATCTGACTTCCTCCCCTCTGCTGACCTTCTTGCTCATTTTATACCAGTGAAACTCCCCTAAATAAGCAAAAAAACCAACCCCCTCATTTCATTCATGAAGATCAATCTGTTTTATTTACTCTCTTCAATCATGTCCCCTTCTTTAAGTGGTTAAGATGAAAATCATCCAACACAAGTGCAAGGCACCTCACTCCTATGCTGTCTGTTTTAGAAAATTACATTTAACAGCAATGGAAAACTACATTTCAGGCAATGGAAAGCCTGAAAATCAAATGGAATAATTCCAATCATGTATTGCTGAATCTGAAAAATCCCATACGGTGGTGAATTCACCTGCCACTTTATTTGCCTTTCTTCCCCACCTTTGCAGATTTAGATCTAAAATTGTAATAGTAGGTTTCAAGAAAAAAATACAGTAATTCCATTTTTGGACATTTCTTCAATAAGGCTAACGCAGAACAGGCTACACATCAGAAATGCTTTGTCATGAGACTGCTCATCTATTACCTGTCCTCCCTCTGGAGCCTGGGCTACTGCAGCTCAAGTGCTTAACACAATCCTTCCCTGACCAGATGAAGACTGGGTTCTAGACACTGGAGATCACTGATTTCATAGTCTTCCTGTGCTGTTTCTAAACTACTTCATCTTCAGCATGTACTTGAGAAAGATACAAGTCATAGCAGCAACCTTGAGCTGCCCTGTGATATTATTTGATAGAAAACAGAAATATCAGTAAATAAAAACAAACAAAAACCCCAAACTAATGAAACATGAACCAGAATAATTTGGAGAGACAAACTGGCTGCACTGCACTCTCTCTAAGCCTTGATTTAGGCCCAAAATGGGAAAAATTTGGATTTGCAGCCTCTGTACATTTTTGTGGGAAAGAATTAATATAGTCTCTTAAGGATACTAGATATGAAATAAAAATGCCACTCTCTTAAAAGAAGCCTCAGACTGGTGTGGTCCATGTGACTGTGTGGTAGCCAAATCTGGTCACAGGGCAATACCATTTGGCCTCACTGGGCAACAGCCATAGCAGGTATTTCTGCAAGTGTCTGGCTGCTCTGGGGCTGAAAAATGCACTGGAACAGGGCCTGGGAATTAACTTGGGAAGGGAACCTGGAGGCTCTTTGCTGCTCAGCTTCCCCCTCAAGCCAGGGGTGCTGTGACCCCTGTACTGTCACAGGTACTGTGACCCCTTTGGTGACTGCTCCAGCCCCTCCCTGGGCTGTGGTGCCACCAGCATCTGCTGGGAGCTGCTCCAACTCCTGCTTGTCTGCTCGTCCTGCTGCCAGGACAGGCACTGCTGCCCTTCTCTCCTGTCTCAGGAGTGATCAGTGAACTCCTGCACACACAGTCACAGCTCCAGCAGCAAGGGCAGGAGGAGCTGCTTTAGCCAGTGCAGGGCACTCCAGTGTGCAAGGAGAGCCCTCTGTGCACCTGCAGATGTGACCTGAGATTCCTCACTGACTCATCAGCACTGAGCAGCTCCAGCTATGAAGGGCTGGGCCATCACCAGCTGCTGGGGAGATACTCTGAAAATTGCTTCCATTCCTGAACACCAGAAATGCCCTGCAATGAACTGTAAACCATTCATAACTGTTATATTATAACTTGGACTATAAGTATATTTTTCTCTCTCTACATATCCTGTTATCTTCATGCCACTATTAGAGAGCTATTTATCTTCTGTTCCACTGGATTTTAATATTTATAGTAATTAGTGCAAAAATAAATATTTCTCTTCAAACAAGTTTTCTCTTCTGGATCAAAAGGTGAATGCACATCTAATACTATACAAAATAAATATTACACAGGGTATGGAATATGGAGTGCAGATTACAAGCTGTAAACAGACACTGCTTTGAAAAATGCTTTCCAGGATTGACTCTGGGATGTAGGATTAGCATCGTCTCTTACTTCAGAAATGGCAAATTCTGTTTGCAAAATCACTTTTTATAGAAAGACTTACAGAGCCTTAACTCCTTTGCAGTAGATGTACTGGCATCAATGCATTTACATAGGCCTAAGATTTTTCAAATGATGGAATTCCAAATGTTCTTGCAACTCTAAGCATGTTTTATAAAAGTGAACTCAAAGGCTTACAGCTCTTTATTCCAAGTACTGGGGAAAAACCAAGAACATGGCACTTGTGCTACAAGGCTATATACATTACTTCTATAATTTGATGAGGAATGCTTTTCCTCATGCAGCAAAGTTCAACTGCATCTCATCAGCTCTTATCTAGGTCTGACAGTATCTTTTTCTCCTGTTGAAAGAAGTCTTTCAGCATTATATTCACTCCAAAGAGACCCCAATGCAATATCATACAGTGCAAAACGAAACAAAAATGATCCTTCTGTCTAGAACTATTGCACATCTCACTGATGTTAATAAGGATTTTTCTTTCTAAATCTAAGAACAGTTATGTGCAACAAATTGGGTAAAGCTTAGCACTGTCTTATATTCACTTCTGTTTCCAGCAAGGTGTTCTCCATAGTGCAGTGTATAGAACGAGTTTCATGTACTGCTGAAGCCCAAGGGGAGTTTGAAGTTTTGCTTCAAAAGCAGTTAATTGCACAGAGAAGTAAGTGGGGAAAAAACCCACATTTTTTTTCCATACTGCAGAGAAGCCTTGAGAAAACATAAATTTGTAATAAACATGGCAGCATCACCATGCTTCATCTGGCATACGGAAGAGAAATTATACTGACAGGAAAATGGAAATCACTTAACTGAGAAATAAAAATCAAGGCATAATAGGGTCTATATATTGAGAAGTCTTTTCTATAATACAACAGACCCACCACCTACATCTCACTTCTTGTAGAACTTGTGCCTTTTCACCAGATATATCCATGATTCCAATTTTAATGAAGTGGGCAGCCTTAGGCTTCGGATTCTCTCTTCTTCTTTCCATCTTCTCCTAAATCACTGTCTTCAGACTGGCTACTGCTCAGGACTACAAACTGTCCTTCTCCACTGCTCTGGTTGGATCTGCTGGAAGCAGCTATCAACCGGCTCTGCTCCTCCAAGTCCTAATGGGAGGAGAGGGGTTGGGAAATCAGAACAAGAATATTACACTTAAAGCCATCTGGAATTGACAGAAGGATACCATTATTATGATTTCTAAACTCTCAATACTATCAGTGGACAGCTTTGTACAGAAGGAATGAAAAGAATGAATAGGAAACCAAAACATTCACCTTTCAGTAGCTGCACTATTAGAACAGCTCCCAGGTTAACACAGCTGCACCTACAGCCCACAGGGCACAGCAGGCCAGAACAACCATCCTCAGCTACACTGAGAAAGGCAATGGAGCTGGGAAGGGGCTGCAGCACAAGTCTGGTGAGAAACACCTGGGGCAATTGGGGTTACTTAGCCTGGAGAAAAGGAAGCTTGGGTGGGACCTTCTCACTCTCTACAACTGGCTGAAAAGAGGGTGTAGCCAGGTGGAGACCAGTCTCTTCTGCCAAGTAACAAGCAATACAATAAGAGGAAATGGCCTTAAGTTGCACCAAGGGAGGTTTAAATTGGATATTAGAGAAAATTTCTTCACCAAAAGCACTGCCAAGCACTGGAACGGGCTGTCCAGGGCCATGCTGGAATCACCATCCCTGGAGGAGTTTAAAAGCCATGTAGATGTGGCACTAAGGGACATGGGTTAGTGGTGGCTTGGCAGTGCTGGGTTAATGATTGACCTTGGTGATCTTAAAGATCTTTTCCAACCTTAGTGATTCTGTGATTCTTGAACCCATTTCCTCACTGTGTGACTGAACCCTCGTCAGCAAATGAAACTATTTTGTGTCTGTGATAGGTGTTCCTTCAAGCACTGCTTGCTCTTAAGTATTCTCATAAAGATGTTTTGTCATGCATATTCTCAAGGAGCTCTTTTTAAAAACTACTATACAAAAATATACAAAATCTGCACAGGAAACACTTATGATAATTAACTTCATAATGCTCTATGAACCTGTACTGAAGAGTATGATAGTGGAGCATGGAGTACAAAATTGCAAAAGAAAGGAAATAGAAAAAACCTAATGTTAAGAAATAATGATGAAACTTACCTTTTCAATTTGCTTTTGTTTATTCAGTTCTTTTTGTTGTTTCTCTTTGACTCTCTCGATTTCTTTCTGCTTTTCTGTTGCTTTTCGATCCTGAAGGGCAAAAATGTAAATAAAGTAAGTAACAACCTGAGACATTTGATACAGTACTGATTGCTATGAGCTTGCTCAAGACTGTGACATCACTGTTTCAATTATTCTTCTTTTAAAGGACTGGTATGGCTGTTAAAGGTAGCAAGCTAAATCCTATACTGAATATTGTCCCACAGTAGACGTTGGTTAGTCTTTTTATTTGAGTTTAAATCCTAGGAAACAAATCCCTTGCACTACACAACAGTATTAGTGCATCTGTAAGTATCTTGCAGAATGTGTTCTATTACACTTATTAAATATGCCCTCTTCCTTCCATTCACAAGTATACAGAAGAGGAAAAGATTCTTACCAGTTCTGCATGAAAAGCTATCTGTTTGGCCAGTCCAACAGAGTCACAAATCTAAACACAAAACACATAGGAAATAATAAAAAAAGGCTAATCAAAATGCCTCTACAATTAAGCCAGTATCCCCAAATAGATATAACAACACATTAAAGCACTTCCAGGTAGTTAAACTGAGAGGTTTAACTGTTTTTCAGTAAATTAACAAACAATCCCTTAGACAGCTTGAATGGATCTAACATCTTGGAATCCATGTCAGATTCAAAACTGATACAAGTTATATCCATCAGCAATACCTTTTCCCCTTCATTATTTGATTCAAATATATAGCAGATGGAAGTCTGGCGGGTCTCAGCTCTCCCTCCTGAGGTTCTAAGCACAAATCCAAACAGGCGTTTATTCTCCTGGTGTGTAGCATAGAGAACTACACTGGGCAAAGGGAACTGCCAAGAGGATCAAATGTGGAGAGATTAAAACTGGGTCCAAATATTTTCCAGATGAGGTTTCACATTAATTATCTTCAATATCATAAATGCACAATCACAGCACAAGAAGTTACAACCTGACCAAACATGTAACTACGGAACACAAACAGGAGATGAGACAGCAAAGGATTAAATTACTCAAAAGACAGGCAAACTTCTAAAAACATACTCCATGTAAGAAATGGGGACCACATTTGCAGTGCAAGTCAGTCATCTCCCTAAATGTGGTACATTCCTTTTTTTATTTTCTTTCAATCATTCATACTAGTTACATTTGGGACTATGCTTCCAATATTTAGTGCCAGGTAAAGGCACTACTTCCCCCAAACCTGCCAATAGCTCAGCTCTCCTGAATTATGCTGAATTAAGCAAAACAAAAAAAAAAAGAAAAAAAAAAAGGAAAGAAAAACCCCAAACCAAACAAACCACATCCCCTCGTTACTTTGTTACATGAAAACTATTTTGCATTCTTATTCCTAAAAGAGAGTGGACTTCAAATGTATCTTTTTAAGACTTACCAAAGGATAAATTTTAGAATTCTGAAAGCCCCTACTCCAGCTGTTATAAACTGATAGGACAAGGTTTTCCTAACCTTAGATGTTTGCATTTAGCACAGGGGATGTGCCCTCAGTCCATGTATCCCACCTGTTAAAGATTACAACTTTGGGGCACTTTTGAACTTAAAGTCACAAAGGTAAAGAAAGAAAAAAGTCCTACTTCAAACATCAAGACATTTTCGTGTCCTTAAAATTTCCTTTCATGGAAATTAAAGTAATTCAGAGTCTCCAAAAAAATGGAATGTTTTCAAAAATGCAAAGAAATTAAATGACAGACCGTAAATTGTGCATAAAGGGGGGGGGAACAGTTTTGAAATATGAAAAATAAAGACTGCTATTACTGAAGAATTAAACTGGCCTTATTTGATACCCTGACAAGAATTCCACTTATTCCTTTCAAGTGCATTTTTATAATGCATTAGAAAAAACAGAGAGCAAACCAGAAACCATTCAACACCCTCAATGTAGTTATGCATTACAACCAAAAACCCCAAACAAAACAAAACAAAACAAAACACCAGACAAACCCTTTTGGACTTCAGAACTAATGTGACTCCAACCTTTATGTTCTCTCTTTACTATTTTACCCTCTCAGATCACAGGGGGAAGGGGTTTCAAAAGCCAAATTAACCTACTGAAATCACTCTCCTTAAATCTGATTAGCAGGTGTTTTTCTCTCTATTTTTACATGTCTGCATTAGTCTCCTAATTTCAGTGGAAATTTGGCTGGAAACCTCATGCTATCAGTGATTTTTGCTATCATGTAATAATATTTTTAAAGTAGAAGAATTACATTGCAGGGTATTAATCTTAAAATGTAAAGTTACTTACTCGTAGTCTTGTAACTTGTGTCTGTGGATCAATTAACCTAAAAATTTGGTTTTAAAGACAAACCAGAAAGTAAATTTTACCAAAGTGAAAGAAGATCATTCTGTAAATAAACATGAGTAGAAGTCAGAAAGCAAAACTTACTTTAAACAGTCACAGGTGACTAACAAATGTGATTCTGTCATCCTGAAAACGTTGTGGATGGCACGAGCTGCAAGGATTTGACGCATTGTTTCATAAACAACATCTGGGCTTTCATCAGACTTCACTTCCATGGAGCCAAGAAATCTTACAATAAATAACTGATGAAGAATTGAATCTAAGGAAAAAGAAAAGTATTGAAAAAAACAAACTCCATTTTGGGTTTTCCCTTAAAAACCCAAGCTGGACTGCAGTCAGGGAAACTCCAAACTTCTCCTAAAAAGAGGAGTGCTCATACTCAGCAATTAGAGGTACAGTTACCAAACAGCACACCACACATCTTCTCATTTGGTTTAATGAATACAAAAGATGCAATGAATTATTTTTACAACAGATTTTCAGACAGTATAACGATTTCACTCGACTGGTCAAATACATTGCAATGTAACTAAGCATTCTAAAATTGGTGTTAAATTAGAAGAGAGAAACTAGAGATGAAAACAGAAAATTAATTTCAAATTCTATTTTTATTTTGCATTGAAATAAAACTGTTGTTTTACCTTCTGTTTCAGATTTTGAGCCTCCAGATTCACCAAAAGGATTTGTGCGTCTATTAAAAAATGAAAACATTAAACCAGGAGTCAGATTACAGGAACCACTCATGGATAATGTAGTAGTCTCATGCTGTGTCAAATACCAACATGTAATGATTTCAGAAACTTGTAATCTGGAGGAACATGAATCTGGAGTATGGTGAATCACCAGAACAGGCAATTTAATCAGGAGTGAGCCATAAAGGGCTGTATTTGAGGGCCCACATTATGGGACAAATATCAGATATTGTTGTCCTATTGCTGCCATAGAAAGTTTTGCTCACATGGTATTTGTTTTTATATTTGAATTAAGCCCAAATCAAAACCTTGTTAATATTTGGAAAGGTGTAGTTTTAGGGGATGAAATTTCACAGAACAGCTTCAGGAAGCACAACCAAAAGCTGGTCCTTTCAGAACTCTGTAGGAGCACCCACTTCTCATCACTGTCTCAAGGTGTTGAATTTCTTACTGAAGAGAAGTCACTGGGTTTGTTTCAAATGCAGCTTTCTGAAAACATCACTGGGGTTTTACTCCTAGAGGGTCAAGAGAAATGTGGCTGTTTCTGGCTCTCAAAGACAGAATTGCCATCGGTTACAAAGAAAAGTGAAAATACTCTAGGCTTCCAAGTTTCATTTTTCAAAAGCACTAAAGTAATGCTGAAAAGAGCACAGGAAATGGGGACATTTTATTTATTGTAAAGAGGATATCACCCTTTTTCTTTGCCTGATAGCTCAAAAGCTATTGGCAAGGGTACAATAAACTTCAAATTAGGTTTTATCTGGGAGTAATGAAGGTGTGACCTCTCAATAGTGTTCTAACCATAAATTCCAGAACTAAGAGGAAAAAACTGTTCTAAATTGAAGTCAACCTGGTGTTGCTACAATGTTTAGATAACATGGATTCAATCAAGAACCTTCCCATTAAATTGACTTGGGTAAATACACTAAAGGCAAAATCTTTCTATAAGGATCTTCTACCACTCAGACTTTTCTTGTCATTTAAGATTAAACTGCAATAGTAAAAGCAAAATCTCACAGGATCTCTCAAAAGGCAAAAATAAAATGTGAATACTTGTCATCAGTATTAGAAATGAAGGAAAGTATTTTTATTTTTTTTAATAATTAATATTTCTAAAGTAGCATGTTGCCTATCTGTACAAACACTGCAGTGTTTCATTGAAAGTGGTGATTAATTGAAAATGCTGAGTACAACTCTATCACTTCTGCTATGAAAAACATAGTTTTCTAGAAAGAATTGTAACTGATGACATGAACATATAATTTTAACTCATGTCATTCAAGTTTCAAGTATTTTTCTAGAGGGCAGGGAATATAACACATTATAGTGACTAGAATCTCATTTCAGCTCTTTGGCTTTTTTTTTGTTGTTGTTAAGAGCAGCTGGATCTGCAAATACATTTTCTTAATATCTGAATTTTGTAGATATAGTTCCAGAAATGTAGTGCAGATTTACAGGTCTTAGGTTTGTAATGAATCTCCCACTCAGAAATAATTACAAGTGGAGAAACTGCGTTTATGTTTTGGGATGAATTCTTAGATAATTTTAACTTGTCTGTCTATGAAATCACTCCAGAAGCCTAGATCATTTTCACTCACCTTTCAGGTTAAGAAGAGTGTCATCGAATGCCATCATCACCTGGAGGCAGGGCTACCAAATTTCTCTTGAGTTTCCAAGAGGAAATAACCCAAGCTGCTGGGTGAGCAAGCAATAGGAAAGGAAAATACTTTGTAAAACTGAAAGATTAAAATAAATCAATAAATAAAAGCATTGGCTGTTAAAGCAAGAAAAGCTGCTGCAAACCAGAAAACTACACCTTGACTCTAGTGCATGTAATTAAGCCTTTTTTAACAATTCCATTTAACAATTAAATGAATTGTTTTGCTTCACTGGCCACTGCACATTTTGTGACTTGAGTCAGGGAGAAGGCAATGTGTGTTTGGGAGCTGCAGTTTAAACATGGTTTTCTTGTTTTGAATTAGTAACATTAACTTCAGGAATTTTTTCCTTCTCTCTCCATTTCCTACCTGCTCGATTGCCCTGAAGACTTTGCTTGGCCAGGCAGATCTTCACTAACTGGAGATATTATGTCAAACTGTATAGGAGTGTCAGGGGCAACAAGTGAATCCAAGGAAAGTGCTGATAAAGCTGCTGAGTCAGATCCCAGTGACCCTGTGCTGCTGGTACGAGCTGCAGGAGGACGAGATTGTCTACAACAAAACCAAAACCATCAAAATGAGGGATAGTTAACCCACAGAGGAGATCGATGCAATATTCTAGAACTTAGATGTAAAAAAACCCAAAAACTAAAAACCTGAAGATCAGGGTACAGTAAACAGAAACAGAGACTGTGTTCCTATCAAATTTAAGTAAGTTGAAGTTACTACTTGAATTAATAATTGCATCAGATTGTTTTAACATTAATATATAATCAATACAATCTGAGGTCTGCTTCCAGGAGTCAAAAGCTCTCCTTCTGATATCACACAACAAACCAGACATACGATGCAACCACCAAAGCTGTCAGCCAGTGGCATCAGGACTGCTTGGAACAATGGATGCTGAACAATGTTAGGAAGGTGAGTGCGGGAAATCCTCCTCGAGCCTATCAAAGATTTAGTTCTGAACACAGAAACTTCTGTGGGTTTGTTTGGGTATCTTTTTCCCCCTGGAACTTTATCCAGGCTTCTCTTTATAGATGTGCTCTTCCAGTGACCCCTAGTTCATGAACTTACACAGCTGGCCTCATGCTCTCGTGCCTCTGCTGAAAGGAGGGAGATGGAGTGACAGCCTCCAGGGCTGACTGATTGACACGAGCAGCCATTTCCTGCAGGGCAGAGACAGGAAAAAATAACTGAAAACATTTGTCTCAAAATAAGCTTTCAGATTTTAGTTTTATTTATATGCTGTTGACAGAAGTTATAAACTCAACTCTTTGCAAGAATCTTGCATTCCTAAATTTTCACTACACAGCTGCAGTATTTTCTTCTAGCTTTTCTTGTAACACATATCCTGATGTTAACTTCCTCAGTTTAAATGAATGCTCTTGCTTTACAATACTGTCACTGTTAATAAAAGCAATAGCAAAAATAGAGGGAAAATAGAGAAAATGAGAGAAAAGTCCCAATAATAAGCCTGGAAAAATAAGCAAATGTAGCCAGGGAAAAAAAGAAAAATCTCATTTGAGAAATGCAGCCCTCAACTGCAAACTAAATCCCATGAAGATTAAAAACTATCAATTAAGAACTACATAACAGTTATTTCAGCAAATGATGGACCATTTACAGTTGAATTCCATTTCAATCTTTCATTGAAATCACTAATTCTGATCAATATTTAATGCTGATGCCTTCACTTCCTGGGGTAGAGCCAATAGAGAAAGTCCTTGAGGAAAGGATTTTTGGAGAGAGAAAGTGCAGGAGACAACAGTGAAGCAATATTTTGGGGAGTGTGTGACTCAGAAAATGAGAATGGCTATGAAGACATTGGGAAGTGAGGAGAAGGTGTGAACACACACATCCCTTCACTGATATGAGGGGACTGAACCCCTTTATGCCAGGACTAAACAGAACCTCAGCTCTACCTTCAACAGAAATGTGCTCTACCTTCATCAGAAATGAGCTCTGCACTCCAACTGGTTTGCTTCCCATCTCTACAGTGAACTTAGACAGCCAGGTACTTGTATTATCTAAAAAGTTATATTTAGTTTTGAAATCAAAACCTGGAGTGACACACTCCATTTCAGCCTGGAAGATCAGGGGTTTTTTCTACAAAATTGTTATGCTTATAAGATTCATATTCATAAAATTGTCACTTCCCTCTAGTAGAAATTAAATGTATCCATTTGAACATTTGTGATACTATTTTTTAAAAGAGTGTCATATACAAATACAGGATCTTGAAGATGTCAAAAGGCTACACCAAATATAAAGGTCATGTATTTTTAATGCTTTCCATATAAGCATTTAGATGAAGGAGACAATGGACTCCATGCATTAATACCATGAAAAGCTTCACATTACACATGTAAGAAGTACTTGGCTTAATTCTATGCTATTAATTTTACATAATTACTTCTTAACATATTACTGATAACTGTAAGTTTTAATAGTTACCTCAGGGTTTTCACTTAGATATATCTGTTTAGATATGTTGTTTATGGTGCATATCCACTGAAAAAGAGGGAGAAAAAAGAAAATAAATGAATTTGTCATGTTTTTTCAACAAACTTGATTAAATCCCTGAGTTGGCTAGTTTCAGCACTTTTTCTACTTTCTTTGTAATCTCAGGGAGCCAAATATTCTGCACATCCAGCTTGCCATTAAATTAACTACCATCTGCATACTGCACCTTACCTTACACCTTTCTTACCTGAAAAAATTATTTCAGTCACCTTAAAGATCAAAACTAAAGAAAGCCTAACTCACAAGTCTAAGTAATTAAAAAAAAAAAATCAGGATTCTCTGTACTTCATTATTCTGTTCTGCAGATGACATTGTTTCCTCAAGACATTACAAAGATTCAATCTGTCTTTTGAGGAACTTGCCCATTTCTTGCATCTGCAAGCTACAATCTGTTTTCTCCCTCTGCTCTGGAAAACCACTGCCTCCTGTTTCCGGCTTTTCAGTTTTTCCCTGAAGGAGAACACTAACTGGAATATATGCACTGTTCAACTGTGGTTTACAAATGCATTCCTTCTGCACACCAGAAACTCACTGGGCTCCATGTGAACCTCCTATGAGCTTACCTCTTCATAATCCTTTTTACTTTCTGCCTGTAAGATTGAAGACCTGAAAGAGGAGAATGGAAAAGATAATTCTCTCTATTTAAAATGCCTCATAAGTACATTCAGCAAGGAAACTACAATTTCATCTTTGTACACTGAACAAGTTACAAAAGGCTGAAGATTCTGTGTATGTGCTGAGTGCAGTCAGCATCTAACTGGGGAAGGGAGGGACCTGTGCTTTCATTTAATTGAAAACAGGAAAAAAACAAAATGCAATAATACATGATTGTAAATTGATTATCATAATCTTATTCTGAAATACTACTCAGCTACATTATAGAACTTTCAAACAAAAATCCAGACTTCATGAAGTTAAAACATCTCAGATTTTGCTTCTAAATATCCACAAAATACATCAAGCTATAATCTGCCCAGAGGCAGACCATCTTTCTTTTCTTAACTGGTGAGTCCAGCATTACTCACAGGTAACAGCAGTGTCAGCCCACTCACTTTTTGCCATCAAAAGATGTTATCTGGAAGCAGTACCGTCTGTCCTCACAGTCCACAGCCATCACAGAGCAGTTGTCTATGTCCATGACAAGTCCCCCAGCCACGTCCCCTCTGGCCTGGCTCATCAGATTCCCACCTTGGGTGAAGTAAAACTGTCTCTCCCAACTAGAAGATACCAGCCCTGTCTTACTAAAAGATAAAAAGAGGCCCAGTTAGAGGATTAGGAGCTCAGCTGAGTTGGAAGTCACTTGGAATAAACCATTCCCCATTTCATGTTTTAGGTCAGTGTTACAGCTAAATTAAGCTCTCTCCCACTGTTGGTTTTTTCATGCTAAACCTATTGCTGGGCAAAGAACACACAAAATAATAATAATTGCTTTCTTAAATTATGTGAAACAATTTAGAATAAAAAGGCATAAGTACTTCAGTTTTGATGATCAGCTTTCACAGCACTACTTTACACAATATGCATATTCAAATTCTATGCATTACCAACAGGACCTCTGAACTCTGCACTTACATTGCTAAGACTAAGTTTTGAAGAACTTTGTGTTAAGAACCAGCTTAGTCATGTAAGATACCTCCATTTTCCAAGTATTTTGTACCATTCAACAAGATTTCCAAAATTTTGCTTAGAGCTGAGAGATGGAATCTTGTTACTTTCCTATTACAATGCAGGGAAATTATATTCTCATAAACTTTTTATGTTTTGATGTGAAAATTCAGGCAAGATTAGACTAAAATGGGGATAAGTATGCTTTGTATCCAAATGACACTATGTCAGTGTAACAATGAATTTAATACTAATTAGGTGAAGTCCAAAGAAAGAAACAGAATAGCTCCTATGGGACTTAATTAACTAACTATGTAAAATCAGCATAGCTAACATCAACAAAAAAATTCTTCAGCTTTTTTAGCTTTCCTTTCCCAAAATTAAATACTCTGGAATTTTTAATTGACAAGTTAGTCTTACTTCCTTGCATTGAGATAGCCAGCTTTCCGTGTCAGATTTCTATGAACAGGAAACTTTGTAGGATCAGGATCAGGCAAATACAGTGGATCACTTGCCACTTCCAAGTCCTCTATGGTTTGTTGCATGTTTTCTACTTCACAGTCCATTTCCCTGCGAACACTAAGATAAATAATGTGTTATTAACCAGGATAATTTATTAATAAGTAGAAACAAAAAATAATTGTCTTGATGACAGTTCAAAATTCAACAAAAACAACTTACTTTTGTACACTTGTGCCAATATTGGTCAAAAATTCTTCCAGTTGCTCAGTAAGATTTTCTGAACCCATTTTAAAAAAGCTTATCTTTAAAAAAAAAAAGGAGAATTTAGTAATTAATAAAACTACATTAACAATTGATGAAGTCATAGGAGCTTAAAGTTTCTCAGAGAAATGTATTTTCATCTCTCATTCCCAACAAAGCTAAATTGAGTTGAGCCATAAGAAATCTCAGAACAGGAAGCCACAGGGGATGGCCCTGCCCTTCCCATTCTTAGATCCAGCAAAAAGCTGCACCTGAACAATAGGTTGCACCACCTACTTTGTTGCACAAAACATGCAGAGCTTGGTTCTTAAATACAAGCTGCAAAGTCTGAAAAAGAAGCAACAGTCCTTGCCTTTGGAAAGCTTTCAGACAGGGTGAGAAGTTAATTTCTGCTCAGGTCACTGTGGCAGTGCCAGATGTTGGGAAGTTTGGCTTCTAAAAAAACCCCATATTTGATGACACACTTCTGAAAATACAAATTAAGTCTCTCCAAAGAACTTTATCATGGTTGTATTTTCTGTTGCACCTGTCCCCAAATAAACCAATAATGAACTTATTTATATAAAGCAAAAACAAGCCAGAATGCTTTTTAGCATTCCAGTTCTTCCACACCCTTGATTGAAAACAGTAGTGAGGTGACTTTTGATGATTAAGTCATTTTAGAATAGCTGCCATGGGAATGAGTTTAACTGAGGAGGTTCACTTCCATGGGGACTCTCCTGCATGAAAGCTCTAATCAGCTCTTCCCATTAGGAGAATCAAGTACACAGCAGTGAAATTTAGGCAGTGTATCAAACTCAGCCATCTGGGGTTTGGGGTAGAATTAACCTTTATATTTGTCACCCAGACTTTCCTAAAAGATTCTCTGATGGGAGTGAGGGCATATCATGATGGGATTCATGATCAGTGCTGGCTGAAGACACTGTTCCTGGCAGCAGCTGTGGCAGCTACAGAGAAGTGGATGGGGTAGGTCTTTTTCTCCATTTTCTTCCTTGCAGGGCAGTACAAAATCTTGCAATGGATTTCAGTTCATCAACCTTCATGAAGTACTTTTACATCTTCTTTGAGACTTACAGGTTTCAGAATCTGAAATTACCTGAGCTTGCATGTATCCTAGCAAGGGTTCCAGCAGAGAAATTTTCTTTTTGTACTGGAGAGTATTTAATGCACAGAAATAATGCATCATAGTCTGATGCTGTTTTTTCCTGGAAGTATATACATCTTCTGTAACTTCAGCCTTGACCTGAAGAGCCACAGACAGGGGAGGGGAAAAAAGTAATGTTTGAGACTTGGCATTGATCACATGCCTTCTGAACAGCTTTATAGACAGCATGGAAAAACAACAGTCATGTTCTACCCTCTATCACCAGCAACTGCACATTTTACTCTGCAATTCTGCTTCTGTAATTTATAGATGAGATACATGAAAAACAAATGCAGCATTCTTTTCTCCATGAAAAGTATGGTTATTTCTTTTCAAAAACAATTTAATATGGCATCACAATTTTAATCCTAAAGCATTATCAGTTTTACAAGACAGGTATGTGTTGGGGAAACCTGCTTTTCTGTCTAGGCTGCTAAAACATAAACTATCAAATATCAGGTGGAATCTGCCATACACTGTCTTGCATCACAAATACATATAAGATTAAAATTATTTCTTATCTCCTCTAAAAATCTTTCTATTAAATATTTTGTTTTACAAACCTTTTCATTTTCCCTTCTTTTTGACAACCGACTGTATCTGGTAATGGCAGCATCGTGGTCTGCAATCAGGAGAGAATTTAGGATCATTTTGATAAACTAATGACTTATGAAACAGAGCAGAAATCTTTTTATATCACTGTGTAAGACAGACAGATGATTGCAAACTTCTGTCATATTAACACCTTCAGGAACTGTTCTTCCAAACCACTACAGGAGGTAAAGTTTGTTTATTTATCCAGTCCTGACTTTAGTTAAAGTGAGCTAGCACTTTACTATTTTTAGTAATTTTGGTAGCATAACCCTACATTATTTAATAATCATATATACAGTTTAAGTATTGTAAAAAACACTGTCAATTTGCCTTAATGCTTCAGTGCACGAAGCAGGGATTTACAAGTGAACTAAGGACAGCTGAGTGCCTAAGTATCACTGAAACAAATTACACCTTAATTAGTCACCTTAAGCCTACAGGCTTAACTCCACTAGTTTTCTGAATAAGCAATCTACAATACTGTTGTCTAGTAATATCTATAAGATTAAGTATTTTACACTTACCATTGCTTGCAATTTGGAAAACTTCTTTCAGAGTTAATATCTCTACAAAACAACATACCACAATTTAAATGAGTTGTTATTAACATAACAGTCATATATTAAGGTTTCTCATGTAATGTTTAAGTACTGAGCAGTTGTAGTTAGCACTTTGTACCACACTGAGTTACCAGCACAGGCACTATGGGACCAGGAAAGTCTGCTCCTACTTGGGGCCTGGGTGTCATTTCTGTGGCTGGCTGGCTCAAAAAAAATACTGTAATAATGTAAAGAGGAGCTTCTTTTCAAAAGTCTGTGAAAGATGTTATCAACACAAATGAGTCACCAGTCTAAGTTCTGATTTGAGCTGGGGAAGTGAAGCACAGGATATGGGAAGTATCCAACCCCAGAACACATTGTGATTCCTCCTCCCTAAAATGAACCATGTTCTAGCTGATTATTTAGTCTCCCCGTGTCAGGGAACTGCAAGCAGCACAGTATCTTACACCTGTTCTGATCCTGACTATGGTTTGTGTCATATTGCAACATAAACAAGCAGAAAGCTGTGTTCAACTTTATGGGAAAGCAAATACAAAAAAAAGCATGGAAAAGCTGTACAGGAAATGCCTTTGAAGTCCAGAAGGAAGTATGGTGTCATTACACACTACACCAGCTGGTGGCAGAAAACTTCCAGTGGGAAAATCTATTCTGTGATTATTGCCTCAGGGATCCTGCTCAGTGAGGACTAACAGGGGATTTTTCCAGGTTCTGAGAAGCAATATTAGCCTTGGGATATTCATGATCCCTTGCTCAAAAAGCATAATCTGCTTAATCTATAATTTTGCAGCAAACTACTGCCAAAGAAGTATTTTCCAAGATTCATAAATAGTTAGAAGACTTATGGAAGTCTTGAAATTTTTATTTTGATTTAGACTTAAGACATTCATATGTCAGGTATACCCTCTCTAGAATGTTCACAACAGGGATATTGAAGTTATTCTGGTTTTAACTCTTATAATTTGTATTTAAAGTCCCTTTGCCATACAATCTATTCACTTCATCATCTTGAGTCAAATCTATCATAATCACACACATACATTATTTTCAACCAGGCAGAATAAGACATAACTGTCACAAAAATCAGCAGCTGGAAGCACCTTATGCCTGCACACAAGAAGTCACCTGTATTACCAGCAGGGTTGAAGAACCATGTCACTAATTCTTAATATAGTAAGTACTACAACCTTGGCACTTTGCCCTTTGAGTTTAGTCCAGCAATTACACTGATGTCATGGTATTAAAATATACACAAGTATTTCCTGAAAATGCAAATTACCTGAAAATTATTCTTTCCTAATGTTTTTCAGAAGCTGCAAAATGGTCATCTTGGACAGAAGATAAGTGCTCCCATAATGTAAGTAATACTTTTATTGAAATAATAATAGTGTTAAGTTCTTCAACTGTAATACTCTCATGAATAGAAATAACTTACTTTTTTTTTAAATGGGGAGATGCATACTTTGAGAGCTGAAAAAATAAGTGGCGTATTCTATTTAGTGAAACAAGAGCTATGGAGATTAAATGCTACATTTTATTGTTGCTGCTGTAGATAAAAAGCAATATTTGGTCAAGTGCTCTACCTTTTAGATCCCTTTCTTTAAACTGGGTAATAGGAAACATCATTGCATCTGCAAGCTGAGTTGAAAGTACTGCATGGCAAGAGCTGAGCTGAAAAAGACAAGAAAAAGAATGAAATCTTAGGAAAACAATGCTCAGACCAAATCCAATCAATCATGGTAGGTTGCCATCAATGTCACTCAAAAATGACATGTACTTAAACTACATAACTTAAACATCATTTTGCACATTCCTTTTTTTGCAGCTAACTTTTTTTAGGTTCCAGATCTCACCACTAGTTATCTACAGAAGACTAAACTTTAGAGTTTAGTTTTTATCCAAACTTTTCAAACCTTATTTCAAGTTACTGGATTATGTCTAAAGATGGCCTCACGCATTCAGTTTACTTCTCCAGTTTCTCTCCAGCCACCTCACAGCCTGTCTTTCACAGTTTACAGAGGTAGAACAAAATATGTTCCTCCTCCCAAAATGCTGTTTAAGTAGGGTTAAAAGTGAGGAGCTGGATCACAGCAAACATCCTGATTCAGCTCTTAATGTTGCTCAATTGTCTGTCCTAAGAGTCAGCCTCTAATACAGACAGCAGGAGACTCCTGCTGTCTGTACCTAAAATCAGTCAGGTACCAAAATCAGGCAATACAAATATCCTCATGAAAACAGTCACCAGCGGCCACTGTGCAATATTTTTGGCTGTATTTACAGTAAGTTGAACTCCATTCTTTCCCAACAATGTATCCTCTTTTTGCTGAATTAATTCTTTATCTTCAGGTTACATAACTTTAAATAGATGCTGCAATATACAATTAAGTGTTACCTTGTTGACAAATGAATGCCATTTCTGTACCTACTGTCTTAAAAAAGGCTGGAATAATGAAGCAAATTAAAGTCTATACATGACAACATCAGTAAAACAGATGGAAACACTTGCCTCATCAATCACTTTTGCAAATTGCTGCAGAGTGGAAGTCATGACTTCATCATCTCCCCCCAGTGGGAAACGCTGAGAAAAGGTAAAAAAAGTTATGTTGTTGGCAGTGTTTCCTGCCATTCACAAAACCATTAATCATGTGTATGAATATATTAGGTATTCCATTATCTTAAAGCATTATACAGTTAAAATACACTGAAGTTGTTCACCTCATTAGGTGCAGAAGGAGGATAGGGAGCACCAGCCTCCTAAAAGAAGTAAATTTCTTGGGTTTAATGAGCATCTCAGAAAAGGGGGTCCATCAGCAAAGCCACAAATAGGGAACCCTTCAAAAGTACAGGCTCCCAAGGAAAAAAGTAATGGATTCCATAGTCTTTGCTTTCAGAGATGGAATTATTCTCCCAGAGTAAATTACGGTTGTTAACTGGAAATTGCTATGCAATCTCTTCTCTTTGTGACTAGTAAAATTAAAGCACCTAACAGTAAACAGGTTTATAAAATAAAATCTGAGCAAAACCACCCTAAGCAACCCCCAAAACACTGATTCAGGAGTAAAATATTTCAGATATTTTTATTCAGATATTTCAGATATTATTAATATTCTTCATGTAAAAGGAATTAATTCCAGTTTAGTTGGAAGAACTAATATAGAGATGGTAGATTCTTTTGGCAAAGGTTTGAACCACCAACCACAGCAATTCATTTTGTATGGACCAAATCTAAACACATTCTACATTGTGCTCTGGGAGATAAAAGACTACAGAAAGACACAGTCCTGACCACATAAAGACAACAATGATTTACAAAGTACCTGTTTCTCATATTCCTTCAGAAGCTTTGAAGTCAGATGAGTTGCTGCACTTAATTCATTCTGATGAAGAAAGGGCAAAAAAGTAAAATCAGTACAAAAGTCAAGCAATTCAAGTATATACACATTAAAAATACAGCCATAAACTCAATTGTTCAGAAAACCACACAAAATAGATTCTGTCTGGCATAAAAGTGCAGTTATTTATAGACAATGAATGAAACATGAACATAATGTGGGCAAAAAAATCTCCCACTTGGTACATACTATTACATACACCAAGATCATTTAGTGTGTATAACATTTTAGAAACACTTGGGAAATACAACAGAACTACTTGACCAGAAAACCTTTTTGTCATAAGAAATTCTGTTGCAAAAGAAAGCACAAGAATTTAGTCTTTACCACACCCTTATAGAAAAACAATCATTAATCCTTACTTTGTTTCGCTTCTACATTTAAAGAATGGGGAAGTTAAAAAAACCATATTGCTTATAGTAATTTCAAAAAAAGAAAGAGACTTGAAATGTGGTTCAAAAGCTTTATAATGCATTCAAGAATTTCATGAACTCTACCTGTGCATCATATATTCTGTGCATGGCTTGAAATAACTGATTGATGTAACTGGATATTGCAGCAGCATCTTCTTCAAATACTCCCAGCAAAGAGCGGGTCTGTAACAATCAAACAGCCAAAATACCAACACAGCAAGTTAGAAAAGTAGCATTTAAATGTAATGGAATTTCAGAGTTAAGTAGCATTGCTTCAGGTTTCATTAATGAAAAGTTTATAAACCCTCCAACACTGTTTACAGGAATGATACCTGTTGCATGCCAAAGAATCTTATCCAAGCTCAGCCTCACTCCTACTGTCGGCCTCTCCCCAGGTTAATACATTTTCAGAAAGGAAAGGACCAAGGGAGATGAACAACTGTGTTAAAAAGTTGAAACTGTGGGCAACTACTGGAACCACTATGGTACATCCCTAAGGAAAAGGGTAAAGATGAGTGGTATTAAACAGCATGCCAGGAATACAGGTTCCTTCTGCAGTGAGATCCAAATAAAGGCTGTGGTTTTCCCATATTGTCCAACCTGCACAAAGACAGTTGCTGGCTGTGCTTGGACCTGTAATTCACCTGTGCAACAACCACCAATTCTGTGATCAAAAGGTTGAGGAACACCACACCAAACCAAACAGTACAACCTACATCTGGTTGTCCTCAAGACAAGTGTTTTCACCACTGAAAGGGAGTGAAAAGATCTGTCCTTTTGTCCTTATCTCAGCTTGTCAGTCTGTCTGTGCCTTAGCTGGTGTCACACACAAGCCTGATGACTCTGTGTTCTACTGCACTGCCCACATCACTGAGGAAGGTGCTTAACAGCATCCACCTCAAAAATCAACCTCACTGTCCACCTATTAGACTTCAAAACACTGATCTCTATCTGTGAGCCCACCTATTCAGTTCTTCCACTCAGGTCAGTCCAAACCTCGCCCTTTGGCCAGAAGAAGTTACCAGAGAGTGTGTCACAGTCCTTGCGCAAGCCGAGTGACACCCCTGCTCTCCCTGTGCTGGAGTGACTGACTTGGGATGAGCAGGCAATCAGGTCACTCAGGTATAATTTGGCCTTTCAGCTTAAATGAGATGCTGACTCGGTGTCCTTGCATCCTTTTTGCACTTGGAAGCAAAGTTACTCCTCACTACAAGGATATTGAATGGCTTCCTTCCACCAAGACAGAAAGCCCAGAGGGGGAAGAGCAAAAGATGTTCCTATAACTCTGCACAGGCTCCACTGGCTTTTCCTATTCTAAAACATTGGTTGGGATGCTTGGATGTAGAAACAGGAGTATTGCTTGCAAGAGCCACAACAGAAACACTTTAGTAATGTTTTAGCAAAAAGACTGTGCTTTGGTTTTAGATTTACATTAAAATTAATGCCCAGACAGAAGATTGAAAGAATCGTAAGTACGTAATTGGGGGTTTTCCCAAATTATGATTGTTAAACACTTGAAATTGGAAATTCTCTTAGTCTTCCCTAGGCTGAATAACTGTGGTTTCTTCAAAGAGGAGGGGAAGGAACTAACAGGGCCTGGGAAAAGAATAAAAGACTGGCAGACTTTAATGTTGGTTCTAGCTTATAAAACAAGTGGAAAGGGGAGATAGAGGAGGAAAGAGGTGGAGAATAACTCAAATCTTTGCCAGGTGTGGCAATATGTGTCATCCTAACAGCCATGACTCTCCCATTAAAGGAGACAGACACGAAAGAATGCAAAAGAAAAAATTACATGGTACTGTAACCACTGAATTATATACTCATGACCTTTAAGCCTGACCACAAATAAACCTGAACTTGTAATTTAAGGGAATATCATGTAAGGTTTCGGGATTAACTTACTCTTTAAAACCAAACACTGAAGAAAAATGCTTTTCTATGTTTTTTATGTTAAAAAACTGGCATTGTATGATACTGACAGAAAGAAATTAACCTGAAACTGTAAACAAATTATGGCAGACTATTGCTTAGCAGAAAATTAGAGGAATTGTTCACTCATGTTTTTAGTAAAACTTTGCCTCATTTTGCATGTTCTTTAGGATGCTTTCAACCTCTGTATATGAGCAGGGAAACAGAAAAGCACCAGCAAGAAGCTGCACAAAGAAACCACTTGGTTAGAAGTCAGTGAACTGTGAAGGCTTCTATGCCATGCAATGTACTACTCACAGGTGATACTGCAAGAGCCTGTGCTATCCAATCTCTTGGCTTTTTTGTTGTGCAATGCTTTGGGAATGCAAATCAGTCTGAGCAGAAACTCTCCCTAAATATACACTGAGTGTGTAATATATGTCCTGAGTTCCAACTTAAATTGCTCTGCTTTGCATAGCAAAAGACTATGTAAACTTGGCATTTGGCTTAGGCCTGACAACACAGTGGTTAGATTTTTATCCTGTGACAACAGGAAGTGAAAGGGGTTTGAAATTTTAGAAAAGGCCTGCCTTCCTTCCCTCAGACACAGAATAAGTTTGATGTTTATATACCTACAGTTGGTGTCTGGAATCTGTCTAAGCTCCGGGCCATAGTTCAGCACTAAACAATGACCTGGGCTGATGAGCTTTTTCATTATCACAGTAGGAATGCATCAGTCATGGCAACTCCTCAAGAGGAGAGTTCTGCTTTCTTCAAGCAACATTTGTTGTCATTTCCATTGCACTGATTTCAAAGAGAAATTAAGTAATGTAACAGAAATGGACTAATGTAACAGAAAGCTACAGAATCCTTGCTATGTTCTTCTAAGACATGGTTGCCAGAATTCACCTAAAACAGAACATTATATTGGCAAATCCAATTGTTTAAGCACAACAAACTCATTGGGTTGAATTAGACTTTGCTAGTCTGTGTCACAAATAACTTCAAAAGACTCTAGAATTTACAATTATGTTCCAATAAGAAACCTTTTTTGCACATGCTTCCCAAACGTCCTCAGATGATCCTAAGTTTATCTTACATTTGGCATTTCCTATAAATATGAATAGTTCTGACTTCCTTATACTAAGATTATCAAGAGATAATTATTTTTTTTTAATCACTATTGTTGTAACACTTTCAAAAATTTTTCCTCTTCATGAGATGACACCACGTTTAGCCAGAGGCCCCATGACAGGCCAGATCTCATCTCACATGTAGTCTCTGAGCTATTTGGGGCACTGCTGTTCAGAAAGCAACGATTCCCTTTCTGCATGGCCTTCTAGTGCCTTCTCTAAGTCGTTCCTCCCCTTGGTTTAGAATTGTTAAAGTGACTGTCATTCCCTATTAAGCAAGTGAAAGTTTTTCTTCCTGTGGCCAAGGAATCAAAGCTACCAGCACAGATGTTGTTACAATACAGGACGTCTTGCTCACTACGTAAACTGTGCATCAGAGCAAGGATCTTAATTTAAAAGGCTGCAATAAAGGAAAACACACTGTAAACTTTTTTCCCCCCACATCTAAGAAGAGCACTATAAGTACCTGCTGTTGTTGCTGCCAGCGAGAGAAACCCGTGCAATGGAATAAAGGCTTTCCTGCTTTAGAGAGCAATGCCACCGCACTACGGGGCATCTCTGACAAAGGTCAGGCACAGCAATGGCACGGAAGGATCGGGGCAATTAAAGGCCTTTGGGCTCCATGTGCTTCCCCCCTACTGTCAGCACAAACCACCGCCGCGACCCAACACCTCCTTTTCGCACGGATCTATTAAACCTTAACGGGGTTTTAGCGAAAGATAAAGATAACACAAATCGCCTTGAGAAGCGAAGACGGGATTTTGTCATCACGAGGTGTCCAAAATCACTGCCGAGCGCGGGGGCGGGGGCCCGGGGATGTCCGGGGCCCGGCGCGGGCT